AAGAAAGGCTTAGGGTCAGTTGTTCAGAAAGAAAGGCTACAGCCTGATCCTATTACACATACCAGATTCTACCCCAGTTTAGGGTCCTAGTGGAAGAGACTGTAGGGCAAGCAAGGGAACAGGAGTTATATGAAAACCAATTCTGATCAGAAATAAAGCTTCCACCAGACATTTGTAATAAAACAAGGCAGGCATAGTGCATCTGCTAAGTGGCTGATTTAGAAAGTTCTGAAATTATTAATTTATTTCTGTTGCATTTTTTACTGCCATGGGAAAGGAGAAAGAGTTTTGGCATATCCTACTTCAGGGGCTAAATTAATTGATTGTGGGATTTATCTGCTTTAGTGGCACTTATACAAGAAAATAGCCCTATGGATAGGCTCTAGGCCTGTAGAAATATCCTGACATGTTTTATTAGGAGTCAATCTGTCTCCCCACTTTTTTCCCCAAAAGAGGAGACTCACTAAATTATTTATTGGTAGAAAATTAATTGGACTTAATTTTCTTGACCAATCTGTCTAGATTTCAACTGGGTGTAGTTCCATATGTCTTTAGTTTGGATCTAATCCAGTCTTCATGATAATGAGTAATTAATAAAATATGTATTATTCTTTTTATTTTTTAAAATTTCAAAAAGATTGAAGTGTTTCTTAAGTGCGGACTAAAACTGCTAGATGTTTAAAACTATATACCGGTATTCATCTCACTATATACAACTACAACTTAGTGTATTAAACATTATTTTAATATCTAATCAATCATAATTTCATAATTATTTAATAATTGAATCATAATTGCATATTTTCCAACCCATAGTTTATCTTCTGATAATACTGGATTGCCTTTCAGATCCTCATCCCACCTCTTCAACAGGCACGAAAGATTCCGACATAACATTATCAGTAATTAAAATGCAATCAGTGTTCCTTTCAGATCTCTTTGGTAATGGCCCCTAAATTTAGCATAATTATGTCCAGCCTCCTTCTTTTCCAGTCTAAATTATGTGCTTTCCAAATAAATCTTTACACCAAATAAATCTTTACACCAATGTGTGAAAGACTGTCTTTGCATAGAGGTGCCCCCGAGAAAGAAAGGAATAGTAATGGGCCTTCTTTGTTAAAGAAAAGGGGGCAATTATAAGTGAGGAACAGCATCTGTATTCAAAGGGCTCTTTTAAAGAGCCAAACTCCTTCTTTCTCATTTACAAGAGATTATGGGAAGGTAAAGAGAAGGCAGAGGAGAGCTAGTGTGATGTAGTGGTTAAGACATCTGGCTAGAAATTGGGTGACTGCAAGAGTTCTAATTCTGTCTTAAGCACAAACCCAGCTGGACAACTTTGGGCCAGTCACCTTCTGCCAGTCTTAGAAAAGAGGTAGTTCTGAAAAACTTTGCCAAGAAAACTTCAGGGACGTGTCGAGGCAGTCTCTGAAAATTTGATAAACAAGAGAAGGGGGAAAGCAGAGATTTAGGTTGGCTGGGAATAAAGATTTTGAAGCAGTTCTTCGTTAGACATATACTAATTACCATTTTAAAAATAAAAGTACAAGGAGGATAGAATAAAATTCTTTTTTGGCCAAATGTGATTGGACACACAAGGAATTTGTCTTTGGTGCATATAAAAGATAAAAAAGATAAGCAAGAGAAATACATTTTACTTGATCCATCAGTTTTTATATCATGGCAATAAACTTAGGAGCTATATGGCAGATTCAACTCAGTAGCCATCAATGGGTACAGGACTTGTCTAATTCCAAGGCTTTGTGGTGCTTTCAGCATTTGAGGAATTGTACGTACTTTTTTCCTGTTTCCACATTATTTTCCCTTTTGACTCACCAATACTGCATAGATCCAAGTCTTAAGTAAGTGGCAATTAGAAGTAGATTTCAGGCTGCTATGCTCTGGATTGTAAAAGAACAGTTGCAAAGCAACAGACTGTTTTATTTAATCAAGAATTGGGTCCAAATTCTTCATCACTGATATCTATCCACAGCATCTTACAATCAGATACTCTGAATCTAAATACATAAATTAAATTTTAAGAGATTATAAGAAGTAAGTTATTGATTTCTCAATTCTGATGATATAAGGCCTATTGAGCTTTTGTTGCTGCTTGCTGCTTGTATATATCTCAATTACCTATACTTTTGAGAACATATTTTGTTTGCAGCTTTCACAACATTCTAGCGGGTATTTGTATGTGGCGGGTATTTGTATGTGGATCTTTGGTTATTCGGGTTTTCTCCCGCGTAAGATTGGAAGTATCTAGTATCAACTTCATCGAAACATTGCCTAGATACTTCCAATCTTACGCGGGAGA